GGGTTTGTGCCCCCCCCCCGGCCCCCTCGGGGGGGGGGGGGGGGGGGATGAGAGGGGGTGTCTCCCCCCCGGCCCTCCCCAGACTCAGCCAAAGGTGGCCCCCCCCAGTTTATGACCTCCGTGTTTTATGTTCCTTCCGGGGGGCCTTGCTGGCCTCATTAATTTATTCATTAGCCCTGGGGGGTTGGGGGGGCAACAGGGAGCTGCGTCTCCTTGTCCTTTCCCTTTCCCTCCACCCTGGGCCCTTCCTTCTTTTCTTAATTATTGCCGTTAATGATGAATGATCGTTATTTTTTTAATTAAAAAAAAAAATCTTGCAACCAAAGACGAGTGGAGAGAAGGGGGCGGGGTGGGGGGGTCCAGGGTGGAGATGGGTGGTGGGTGCGGTGAGGGAGAGAGAGAGAGGGGCAGTTGCCCCCGAGCCGGCCGTGTGCCAAACCTCGTCCTCCGGAAATACCTCTCGGCCCCGGGCTTGCTCGGCGCTCGCTCTCTCTTCCACGTGACGATGGATTTTAGCCCTCGCGGGACCTGCTCCTTCTTCCCCTTCCCCCCTGCCCCACACCAGAGCAGCTGGGGCAGCATTCCAGGACCTGGGGAGTTCTAGGTCGCCCTTCTGTGTCCAAGGTGCTTTGTGGAGTTCTAGGTGGCTCTTGGCGACCTAGAGTGCCACTGGTGTTCTAGGTGCCTCAAGGTGCTCTAGGTTGCCCTTGGTGATCTAGGTGCCTCAAGGAGCTCTAAGTTGCCACCTGCGCTCTAGGTTGCCCTTTGCAATCTAGGTTGTCTTTGGTGTTCTAGGTGCCCCAAGATACTCTGGGTTGCCCTTGGTGATCTAAGTTGCCATTGGTATTCTAGGAGCCTCAAGGTGCTCTCAAGGTTGCCGTGGCAGTTGAAGTTGCCTCTTGGCTTCCTAGGCACCTCATGGCATTCTAGGTGGCACTCAGTGTTCTAGCTTGCCCCTTGGTGTTCTAAGCACTTCTTAATGGTCTAGTTGCCTCATGGCATCCTCAGTAGCCTTTGGTGTTAGAGATCTCCTTGTGGTGCTCTAGAGGTTCTGTGATGTTCTCTCAGTGCTCTAGATCACCTTGTGGTACTCTAGGTGGCCCTTGGGGTTCCGTTCACCTCTTAGAGTTCTAGATGGCCCTTGGTGTGCTAGATCATATACTGGTGTTCTAGGTCACCATGTGGTGCTCTAGGTGGTCCTTGGTGTTCTAGGTGATCCTTGGTGTTCTGGATCATCTCCTGGTGCTCTAGCTATCCCTTGATGTTCCAGGTCACTCCTTAGAATTCTAGATGGCCTATGGCTTTCTAGAAGGCCTGTGGTGTTCTAGAGCATTTCTTGGTGTGTTAGATCACCTCCTGGCATTCTAGATGACTCTTGGTGGTCTGGGTCACCTCATAGCATCTAGATGGCCCTTGGCGTTCTAGATCACAGTGTTTCTAGACAGCTTTTGCTGTTCTAGATCACATCGCAGGTTTCTAGATGGCCTGTGGTATTCTAGATCATCTCTTGGTGGTCTAGATAGCTCTTGGTGATCTGGATCACCTTTTAGCATTCTAGATGGCTGTTGCTGTTCTAGATCACTTTGTGGTTTTCTAGATGGACTGTGGTGATTTAGGACACTGCTTACAGTTCTGGAGTGACCCATGCTGTTCTAGATCACATAGTGGGTTTCTAGATGGCCCACAGTGTTTTAGATCACTTAGCGAGTTTCTTGATATCCCTTGGTGTTCTAGATCACAGAGTGGGGTCTAGATGACGTGTGGTGTTCTAGATCATCTCTGTGTTCTAGATCACACTCTGGCAGTCTAGATGGCCCTTGGTGACCCAGGTCACCCCTTAGCATTCTAGATGGCCCTTGCTGTTCTAGATCACATTGTGGCTTTTTGGGTGGCCCTTGGTGATCTAGGGCAACCCTTAGCATTTTAGGTGTCCCCAGATCATCTCTTGGTGTTCTACGTTGCCGGTGGCTATCTGGGCTGGGCTGGCTGCCCTGCCCCGGGGGCTGGACATTGTTGTGCTCCTGACCTGCCCATGAGGTCTCCTGGTGGTGTTGTGTGGGGGGCAGGACCTGAGGCCGCACCAGCCACCTCGGTGTTGGCTGCTCTGGCTTCCTCCCAGCATTCTAGGTTCCTCTTGGCTGGCAAGGAGATGGGCTGCCCCAGTCTGCGGTGGCCATTCATGGTGTCCCCAGGGCTCTCAAGCAGTGGCCATTCATGGTGTCCCTGGGGCTCTCAAGCTTGGAGTGGGGGGAAAGAGGTGAAGCTGGGGAGACCAGGATGGAGCCGGAAGGGAGGCACAGACTTCTTGGAAGCATGAAAGGGTGGGACTTCCTGTTCCAACAAGGCTGAGGGCGGGACTTCCTGTGTGCTGACTGGGGCAAGGGGGTCCTTGTCATGTGGCGGCAGGACAGAATTTCCTTCCTCCTTGGGGTGACAGGGGTATGTGTGCTCTGCTGGAAAGGGGTGGGACGTCCTGTTCTCTGCATGGTGGGACTTCCTGTCCTTGGTAGGGTGGGATGTTCTGTTCTCTGCAGGGTGGGTGGGACTTCCTGTTCTCTGTGGGTCCTCTCTGCATATAGGCAGGGCTTCCCCATTCTTTCCCAGGCACACTTCCTCTTTGCATCAGGGCAGGACTTCCTGTTCTCTGCAGGGCGGGACTTCCTCTTCCGTTGTCAGGGGCAGAAGAGATACCAAAGTCTTTACACCACATCAGCCTATTAGGTCATGGGGCAGGGGCCCTCCCACTCCCCCCCCGCCCCCTCCCCCCGCTCTGGGCAGACTCACCCCGTCTGCTCCAGCGTCAAGGGGGCCCCAGCCCCTGCCCCACTGGGTGGGGCAGTGAAGGGGGGCCGGGGGCAGGTGGGACAGTTGGACAGACAGAGACAGACGGAGCCCGGGCCAGGCCCAGAGAGCCCAAAACAAGCACCTCCCGGATCTGGCCCCAGCTGCTTTGGCCGGCATGTGCACACATGCGTGCACACACACACGGATGCACACACACACGGAACCCAGTTCTTCCACACACATACACAGAACCCAGGTGCCCCCCCGCCCCACACAGAGCATCCAGGTGTGTGTGAGATGCGCACACTTGGATATTTGCACATATGAACCCGGGTGTCCAGGATGCACACACACACGCACATAAATATTTATGTGTACATATACCAATACGCACACCCATATTGGTTTATGTGCAGGAACACACACGCGCGCACACAACCCAGGCATCCAGGTCACATACATACACATACATTCATGTGCACATATACTGACAGGCACACACATATGAACATGTGCACAGCACTTGGGCACCTGGGTCTCTCTCCCTCTCTCTCATGCGTGTGCACACACACACACACACACACACACACACTTCAGGCATCCAGGATGCACATGAACATACCTACATACATGTGCACACATATCTGTGTGCACACACACGAACCCTGGCCTCTGGGACACACACATGCATGCACAGAGCCCAGGTGTCCGAGTCTCTCTGTCTCTCTCTGTGTCTCTCTCTAACACACACACACACCCCCATGCCCCTTGGGTGTCCAGGGCATGCTCACACCTACCTACAGACATGTGCATATACATGTGTGGGCACACACATGAACCCTGGCTTCTGGGATACACACACACATGCACAGAGCCAAGGTGTCTGAGTTTCCCCTATCTCAGCCTCACACCCCGAGGTGTCCAGGACACCCTTGTACCTACCTACACACATGTGCACATACATCTGTGTGCACTCGCACATAAACCCTGGCATCCAGGGGACACACACACACACACACACACACACACACACACACCTTTGTCCATGCACACTGAGACCCAGCCATCTGCCCCCTGTCCCCTGAACACACACAACACGCACATATGCCGGCCTCTGCCTATCCATCCCCCAGACCCATCTATACTGAGGGGGCCCAAACCCCTGCCACCCCCACCATGCCCTTGACCCTGGGGCTTCGTGTGCAAGACCCAAGGGCTTTGGAGACCGCCCTCACAACCCCCCCCAGCCTGGGACACAACCGAGCAGCCCTGGCCCTGGCTGTGGGGGGAGACTAGGACACAGGGGTGCCCCCCAGGCTGGGGCCAGGGTGGGCACAGGGCAGATCAAGCAAACCAAAGATGTTTCATTGACCACACACAACCCTGCTACCTTTTTATAAGAGACTAAAAAAAAATAAAAATAAAAAAATAAAATAATATAAAAAAATAAAAAAACAAGAAGCCGAAAAACCAAAAAACCCCTCAAAAAAGCCAAAAAAAAAAAAAAAAGCTAAAAAAATAAGAATTAAGAAAAAAAAAGAAAAAATAACACTTACCGTGACGTCACCAGGCAGGGGGCACAGCTGGGTCCCCCCCAAGCTCCGCCCCCTGCTTTGCACACTGGCAGTTGTGCGAGGAGGCTGGGAGGGGGAAAAAGGGTGGGGGAGAAGGAAAAAAAAAGGAAAAATGTATATTTTTAACTATTTGTCCTTGAGAAACGGGGATTTTAGCTGCTTCTTCTTCTTCTTGTGGCTGAGGGGCCGTGCGAGGCGTGTGTGAGGCAGGCATGCAAGGCGAGTGTGCGAGCGAGTGTGCGTGGGTCCCGCCGGACCTCTGTGGTTTTCTGTCCCCAGCTGGTGTCTCCTGTGTGATGCGTTACCCGGCTGCGGGGGGCTGACCCCGTGACCCCCTAGCCCCACCCCTTTTACCTGTGGCTCCTCCCTCCCTGATCCAGCCCCTCCCCCTTTTGTCCTGGCCCCTCCTCTCCTGCCCTAGCTCGGCTTCTTTTGTGACCTACCTCCTTTCCCCCCTC